ACACTGTGACATAAAAATTATTTTGAGGCTGGGCACTGTGGTTCACACCTGTAAACCCAGCACTTCGGGAGGCCAAGGCAGGCAGATCACCTGAGGTCAGGAGTTTGAGACCAGCCTGGCCAACATGGTGAAACCCCGTTGCTACTAAAAATACAAAAATTACCTGAGCCTGGTGGCACATGCCTGTAGTCCCAGCTACTAGGAAGGTTTAGGGGCAGGAGAATGACTTGAACTCAGGAGGTGGAGGTTGCAGTGAGCCGAGATTTCATCATTCCACTCCAGCCTAGTCAACAGAGCAAGACTCCTGTCTCAAAAAAAAAAAAAAAAAAAAAAAAAAAAAAAAAAAAAAAAATTTAAATTATTTTAAGTTCCTGGAATCCCTTGTCTGCCTAAAATAAAAGGCTCCCAAAAGAACCCAAGTGTCATAAACCTCCTCCCCGGGAATAACTCTAATCTTGTCAGAGATGGGAGAGAGACATTGTTACAAAAGTATGATTTCTCCCATGTATTCTCCTAAGGACATATTTATCTTTACAAAAAGTCATTTTTTTGTTTCGTTTTGTTTTGTTTTTCCAAAAAGCGCTTTCTCCCCAGCTTCTAAGAAGTCACTTGCTCTTCTGGAAGTGTCCTTCTACTCCTTCTACTCCCACCCAGTAAATTTTAGATGATATATAAACTGTAAATTCTAACTGCTTTCTTCATTTTTTTCTTTCTTTCTTTTTTTGAGACAGAGTCTCACTCTGTGGCACAGGCTGGAGTTCAATGGCTCAATCTCGGCTCACTGCAACCTCTGCCTCCAAGGGGCTTCAAGTGATTCTCCTGCCTCAGCCTCCTGAGTAGCTGGGGCTACAGGGGCGCACCAGTGCACCTAGCTAATTCTGTATTTTTAGTAGAGATGGGTTTTCATCATGTTGGCCAGGCTGATCTCAAACTCTTGACCCCAAGTAATCAGCCCACCTCGGCCTCCCAAAGTGCTGGGATTATAGGCTCATCCGTATATTTTCTAAGAAGACAGAACAACAAGAAAAGCACGGCTTCAAAATCAGAGTTCTGAATTTGTTGTTTTTAGTTATTATTTTATATAATTTTCTTTTAATGAAGTCGAGAGAAGGAAGAGGAGCAATTACCTATTTAAAACTATAATGATGACCATGTGTGGTGGCTCACACCTGTAGTCCCAGCACTTTGGGAGGCTGAGGTGGGTGGATCACCTGAAGTCAGGAGTTTGAGACCAGCCTGACCAATATGGTGAAACCCCGCCTCTACTAAAATTACAAAAATTAGCTGGGCGTGGTGGTGTGCACCCAGCTACTCAGGAAGCTGAGGCAGGAGAACCACTTGAACCTGGAAGGCAGAGGTTGCAATGAGCTGAGATTATGCCACTACATTCCAGCCTGGGTGACAGAGCAAGACTCTGTCTCAAAAAACAAAACAAAAAAAACCTATGGTGATATAGTGATATTAATCTTTTCTTTAGATTCAAGGGGTATGCAGGTTTATTACATGGGTATATTGCATAGGGATGAGAAATGGGCTTCTAGCATACACAGTACCCAAATACTGCAGAGTTCTGAATTTAAATTCTGACTATGCCACTCCCTAGCTTTGCGACCTTGGACAAATTGTTTAACTACTCCAACCCTTCATTTCCTTATCTATAAAATAGGGATAATTTTTACTTTGCAATGTTTTGAGGATTAGAGATAATGCATATAAAATACTTAGTTGGCCAGGGCGTGGTGGCTTACACCTGTAATCCAAGCACTTTGGAGGCCAAGGCCAGTAGATCACCTGAGGTGGGGAGTTCAAGACCAGCCTGACCAACATGGTAAAACGCCATCTTAATAAAAAAATTTTTTTTTAAATGCTTAGTAAATTACATACGTGAATATTCATGAAACTGCTACTATTATTGTGTGCCATTCAATAACTAGCTATTGTTATTTTTTATGAATCGGGCTTCCCTAGTAAAAGAAAACCTAACTTTAAGTAAACAAACATATGAAGTCCTTTCTAAAAATCAGAGGCTGGGCACTGTGGATCACACCTGTAATCCCAGCATTTCAAGAAGTTGAAGCAGGAGAACAGCTTGAGCCTGGGAGTTTGATTGAGACCAGCCTGTGCAGCATAGAGAGATCTTGTCTCTATAAAAAATTAAAATAGGCCAGTCATTGTGGCTGATGCCTGGAATCCTGGCACTTTGGGAGGTCAAGGAGGGTGGATCACCTGAGGTCAGGAATTCGAGACCAGCCTGGCCAACATGATGAAACCCCATCTCTGCTAAAAATACAAAAATTAGCTGGGCATGGTGGCATGTGCCTGGGAGGCTGAGGCAGGAGAATCGCTGGAACCTGGGAGGTGGAGGATTACAGGCATGAGCAACCACGCCCAGCCCTAATTATAAGGCCTTTTTTTTTTTTTTTGTATAGACGGGGTTTCACCATGTTGACCAGGATGGTCTTGATCTCTTGACCTGGTGATCCACCCGCCTCGGTCTCCCAAAGTGCTGGGATTATAGGTCTGAGCCACCGCGCCTGGCCTAATTTTCTTTTATAAAAATTTTTTTTTTTAATTTAAAAAAAAAATAGAGATGAGGTTTCACTATGTTGCCCAGGCTGGTCTCCAACTCCTGAACTCAAAGGATCTTCCTGCCTTGGCCTCCCAAAGTGCTAGGATTACAGGTATGAGCCACCATATTTTCATATTGGCTCACTATATCTCCTTTTCCTAATCAAACTACAGTACAATAGACATAAAAATACAGCTAATTAAATTACAATTCTAAATTGGCTGCCAGTTACATGTTTCTCTGTATGTGTGTATATGTTTTTTTTTTTGAGATGGAGTCTTACTGTCACCCAGGCTGGATCTCGGCTCCCTGCAGCCTCTGCCTCCTGGAATCAAATGATTCTCATGCCTCAGCCTCAGCCTCAGCCTCCTGAGTAGATGGGTTACAGGTGCCCATCATTTTTTGTTTTTTTGAGATGGAGACTCTCTGTTGCCCAGGCTGGAGTGCAGTGGCGCCATCTCGGCTCACTGCAACCTCCACCTCCCAGGTTCAAGCAATTCTCCTTCCTCAGCTTCCCAAGTAGCTGGGACTATAGGCACGTGCCACCACGCCCAGCTAACTTTTTTTTTTTTTTTTTTTTTGAGATGCAGTCTCACACTGTCACCAGGCCAGAGTGCAGTTGTGCCATCTCGGCTCACTGCAGCCTCTGCTACCGGGTTCAAGTGATTCTCCTGCCTCAGCCTCCCTAGTAGCTGGAACTACAGGTGCGCACTACCACACCCAGCTAATTTTTGCATTTTTAGTAGAGACGGGGTTTCACCATGTTGGCCAAGATGGTCTCAATCTCTTGACCTTGTGATCCGCCCTCCTTGGCCTCCCAAAGTGCTGGGATCATAGATGTGAGCCCCCGCGCCCAGGACCGTAATTTTTATTTTTAATAGAGACAGGGTTTCACCATGTTGGCTAGGTTGGTCTTGAACTCCTGATCCTCAAGTGATCTGTCCACCTTGGCCTCCCAAAGTGTTGGGATTACAGGCGTGACCCACCGCACCTGGCCTCCGTATATTTTTAATTCAAAAAACAATGGCTTTAAATGTAGCAAGATGTGTTAAAAAACGTGTATCATAAAAATAAAGTGTATTGGCCAGGCGCGGTGGCTCAAGCCTGTAATCCCAGCACTTTGGGAGGCTGAGGCGGGTGGATCACGAGGTCAAAATATCGAGACCATCCTGGTCAACATGGTGAAACCCCGTCTCTACTAAAAATGCAAAACATTAGCTGGGCATGATGGCATGTGCCTGTAATCCCAGCTACTCAGGAGGTTGAGGCAGGAGAATTGCCCGAAGCCAGGAGGCGGAGGTTGCGGTGAGCAGAGATCACGCCATTGCACTCCAGCCTGGGTAATAAGAGCGAAACTCTGTCTCAAAAAAAAAAAAAAAAATTAGCTAGGCATGATGGCACACACCTATAATCTCAGCTACTCGGGAGGTTGAGCCGGGAGAATTGCTTGAACCTGGGAGGCGAAGGTTGCAGTGAGCCACTGCATTCCAGCCTGGGTGACAGACTTAAGATTCCATCTCAAAAAAAAAAAAAAAAAGTCTGCATTTATATATTGGATTAAAAAGTTTAGTTCAGATAACATTCATTTAAAATAAGGTTATCTCATCAGGCCAAGATAAGAATAAAACAGTTTAACTAAAGTACCAGAATTGTGAGTCAAACAATTGTGCTTTTTTTAGAATTAAGTCAAATCTCTTCATATTATCAAATAACCTAATGTACCAACTCGTTTTGAAGATAATTTCAAGACCAGCATCTTAATAAAAATCCCAGCTAAAACATCATTTTAGCAAAAACAAAATTTTGGCTCAACATGGTTATGCAAAATTCAGTTTTTTTTTTGTTGTTGTTGTTGTTGTTTTTTTTTTTTGTTACAACATTCAGTTGTAATAGAAACATGTTTAAATATGGAGAGTCAAACAGAAATGAGAAAAAACAGGTACCATCCATGTATTTATTATTGTTTTCTAGAACAACCAATCTTTATTAGAAAGCTGTAGCCACGCTGACAATAAATAACAGTATCATGAAATAGTGGAACAAATAATTTTTCAAGTACTGTCTGTAACGAAAGCACAGTAAACACATACCAAAAACATAACCACGCATACCAAAAATAAAAACCAGCTCAAGCCGGGCACGGTGGCTCAAGCCTGTAATCCCAGCACTTTGGGAGGCTGAGGCGGGTGGATCACGAGGTCCAGAGATCAAGACCATCCTGGTCAACAAGGTGAAACCCCGTCTCTACTAAAAATACAAAACATTAGCTGGGCATGGTGGTGTGTGCCTGTAATCCCAGCTACTCAGGAGGCTGAGGCAGGAGAATTGCTTGAACCCAGGAGGCGGAGGTTGCGGTGAGCCGAGATCGCGCCATTGCACTCCAGCCTGGGTAACAAGAGTGAAACTCTGTCTCCAAAAAAAAAAAAAAAAAAAAAAAAAAAAAACCAGCTCAAGTATAGGATTGAACTGGCTGGAAAACACTTATTGTGTTACTGCCTTAAGAACCCCACGGAGCAGCTTGTAGCTCATTAACTGTACATTTTCCTTAGGAGGGAAACAAGGGCCTCTCTCAGTCACGTATGCATACGGAAATCTCAAAACCCAAAGGCCATCAGGTGGAAGGGTGATTTCTTGTTTTTCTGGGTAGAATACTGGACATGGTGGTGGGCCTGGTTGAACCTGAAAAACACAGGTAATATAATTATTTCTACATTTGTCAATATGAAACGAGCGAAAGATAAATGCCTAAACAAACGATAGGTTCAAAGAGCATGTAAGGCAAGATGTGGTGGCTCGCTCCTGTAATCCCAGCATTTTAGGAGGCCAAGGTGGGTGAATCATGGGTCAAAAGTTTGAGACCAATCTGACCAACATGGCGAAACCCGTCTCTTACTAAAAATATGAAAAATTAGTCAGGCATGGTGGTGTAACTGTAATCCCAGTTACTGTGGAGGCTAGGGCAGGAGAACAGCTTGAACCTGTGAGGTGGAGTTTGCAGTGAGCTGAGATCACTCCACTGCCCTCCAGCCTGGGCGACAGAGCAAGACTCTGTCTCGGCCGGGCGCAGTGGCTCAAGCCTGTAATCCCAGCACTTTGGGAGGCCGAGGCGGGTGGATCACGAGGTCAAGAGATCGAGACCAACCTGGTCAACATGGTGAAACCCCGTCTCTACTAAAAATACAAAAAATTAGCTGGGCATGGTGGTGCGTGCCTATAATCCCAGCTACTCAGGAGGCTGAGGCAGGAGAATTGCCTGAACCCAGGAGGCGGAGGTTGCGGTGAGCCGAGATCGTGCCACTGCACTCCAGCCTGGGTAACAAGAGCGAAACTCCACCTCAAAAAAAAAAAAAAAAAAAAAAAGACTCTGTCTCAAAAAAAAAACCACAAATAAATAAAAGAGTACATAAGATTAAGCAGATATGGGTACACTCCTACTCTAACTGTATCCAATATTATATTATTTAGTCTCTAATATTATTCTGCTTTTCTCCAGAACTTTTCTTTTGCGGGGGGAGGGGACACAGTCTCATTCTGTCACCAGGCTGGAGATGGGTTTTGTCATGTTGCCCAGGTTGGTCTCGAACTCCTGATCTCAGGTGAGCCACTGCACATGGCCTTTTCTCCAGAATTTTAACTTAAAGCTCTGCCTTTCAATGAAATGATGTGAAATGATAATGTGAATTAACTAAAATGTCCACAATGTATTTTTTTTAAAGAATGATGGTATTTAAGACTTTTTTTTTTTTTTTTGAGACGGAGTTTCACTCTTGTTACCCAGGCTGGAGTACAATGGCGCAATCTCGGCTCACCGCAACCTCCGCCTCCTGGGTTCAAGCAATTCTCCTGCCTCAGCCTCCTGAGTAGCTGGGATTACAGGCACGTGCCACCATGCCCAGCTAATTTTTTGTATTTTTAGTAGAGATGGGGTTTCACCATTTTGACCAGGATGGTCTCGATCTCTCGACCTCGTGATCCGCCCGCCTCGGCCTCCCAAAGTGCTGGGATTACAGGCTTGAGCCACCGCGCCCGGCCAAGACTTGTTTAATAAAATAATAAGTTTAAATAAATTTTTTTTAATCGGCTGGGCGCAGTGGCTCAAGCCTGTAATCCCAGCACTTTGGGAGGCCAAGGCGGGCAGATCATGAGGTCAAGAGATCGAGACCATCCTGGTCAACATGGTGAAACCCCGTCTCTACTAAAAATACAAAAAATTAGCTGGGCATGGTGGCACGTGCCTGTAATCCCAGCTACTCAGGAGGCTGAGGCAGGAGAATTGCCTGAACCCAGGAGGCGGAGGTTGCGGTGAGCCGAGATTGCGCCACTGCACTCCAGCCTGAGTAACAACAGCGAAACCCCATCTCAAAAAAAAAAAAATTTTAATCACATTTTTTTTACTTTTTCTTTTTTTTTTAAAGATGGGGTTTCACCATGTTGGTCAGTCTGGTCTCAAACTCCTGACCTCAGGTGATCTGCCCGCCTCGGCCTCACAAAGTGCTGGGATTACAGGTGTGAGCCACCGAGCCCGGCCCAATCACATTTTTTTTTTTTTTTTTTTTGAAAGTCAAGGTTTCTTCATGTTGGTCGGTGTGGTCTTGAACTACCAATCTCAGGGGATCTGCCCACCTCAGCACCCCAAAGTGCTGGGATTATAGGTGTGAGTCACTGCACCCAGCTTAGTTTTTAAATTTTTTTGTAGAGATGCAAGTCTCACTATGTTGCCCAGGCTGGTCTTAAACTCCTGAGCTCAAGCAATCCTCCCACCATGGCCTCCCAAAGTTCTGGGATTACAAGCATGAGCCACTGTCCTTAGCCTGAAACAATTAGTTTTGATACTAACCTGTACTTTTTAAAACCAAAACAAATATCAGCTCTTTTTTTTTTACTTGTTTGGGGCGGCAGAGGGTTATATTTCTTACCTGAGGCATTAATATTATCTGCAAAGGAGCATCAGGAACCACAACAAAAAGCCTCATAAGTTGAGCATAATGAGGTTTCAGCCCTCTACCTTGAGAGGATGACAGAATATATAAGGGCATGTCGCTATTTAGGGCTTTTAAAGCTGATTCCTTTGGCCCACTTCCCATTACTTTCATTACTTTGTCAGGCCCAGAGCACATGAATCTCCGACCTCGAGAGTCTTCATATTCAAAACCCACAAAAGCTCGAGCTATGTCATCTCGCCGTCTTCCTCTTCCCATTACAACTGCACTTCTCTTTCCAGGAATAGCTTTATTTGGAGCAGGCCAAGAATTTGTGTCTAAGTCTCCTTCGTCTTCAGCTCTAGTCCTGATGACAATGTCCCAAGGCATAAGATAATTTGTTCCTGGGATGAAGCCCTGTTGGTCCAAACCTGTATGAAAGTTGTAAGACTTAGCAGGGCCTAGTTTAACCAAAGACCAGCTGGAGAACTTGGGTAGCAGACCTTTAGGGCAGTTGGAATGTAGCATGCCTGGGAGATACTCAACTGTGGATGCCTGTCGATCAACCAAGTTGGGTCTCTTCTCAGTTTTCACTTCTACTTGACCGTGAACTTCTGCATTATCTCCTCCTGCTTGTGGATCAGCTGGATAGGTACCTAAGCTATCTGTGGACTGGCCCAAACTCAAAGCTAAACTCAGGCTTGTGCTCTCTCCTTGGGTTTGAGGTTCTTTTTCTTTAAGTTTATCAGCATCTGAATCCGGAGGAGCAGGAGAAGATTCATTTTTAGCAGGAGCAGGATCCGGAGTACTTGGTTCAAATACTGGGAAATTGATATGATCTAATTTTCCACAACATTTTTCTTCCAGAAGCTATAGGGGGAAGAAAAAAAATCCAGTAATTTTTTTTCGTCTTAAATAATACATTCTTCACTCTAACAAGATCAATAAATGCTGTGTAAGCAAATATTTACATGTAAAGAACTTGCTATTGTTTATATATTATACTGCAGTTGAATTTGCTTTTCTACTTATTCTGCTATTGAAAATATGTTCTTACTCAGATGATATTTAACAACAACAACAAAAAAAGACAGAAGAGGAAGAAGAAAAAATTCAGAGTCTACCTGATAAAAGTCATAGTTGGCTGCTTTGATATCAAAGGGATCATCTCGAGGTGCTTGTTTCCTTCCACAGTTACAAGCACCAGTAGATCGAGCTCGGCTATTGTGATATAGCACAGGGGGATTTCTATCAGCCTCTGGTTTTTCTCCTGGAAAATATAACAGCCACTATTAATTTCACAAATGCAATGCACAGTCAAATTTACTTTGCATTCTACAACATCTAACACCACAAATACTCCAAATAGTTCTTTGGAAAGAAAAACAAAAACCTTAACTAAATTCACATAACAGAAGAAGCAAGTGAAAATATATAAAATAGCCGGGCGTGGTGGCTCAAGCCTGTAATCCCAGCACTTTGGGAGGCCGAGGCGGGTGGATCACGAGGTCAAGAGATCGAGACCATCCTGGTCAACATGGTGAAACCCCGTCTCTACTAAAAATACAAAAAATCAGGTGGGCATGGTGGCGCATGCCTGTAATCCCAGCTACTCAGGAGGCTGAGGCAGGAGAATTGCCTGAACCCAGGAGGCGGAGGTTGCAGTGAGCCGAGATCACGCCACTGCACTCCAGCCTGGGTAACAAGAGCGAAACTCCGTCTCAAAAAAAAAAAAAAAAAAAAAGAAAACATATAAAATAATTATATTAGGCCGGGCGCGGTGGCTCAAGCCTGTAATCCCAGCGCTTTGGGAGGCCGAGGCGGGTGGATCACGAGGTCGAGAGATCGAGACCATCCCGGTCAACATGGTGAAACCCCGTCTCTACTAAAAATACAAAAAAATTAGCTGGGCATGGTGGCGCGTGCCTGTAATCCCAGCTACTCAGGAGGCTGAGGCAGGAGAATTGCCTGAACCCAGGAGGCGGAGGTTGCAGTGAGCCGAGATTGCGCCATTGCACTCCAGCCTGGGTAACAAGAGCCAAACTCCGTCTCAAAAAAAAAAAAAAAAAAAAAATTATATTATACATCTAAAGTTTAGAGTTTTTATATTTTTATTATTTATATAATTTTAAAACGCTTGGGTGCATGAAGACCAGCACTGGACTCCTCAAGCAGGTGCAGCCCCCACCCTGCCCCAGAAATTTATAGTTTTTAAGTGATTTTTTTCCTCCTGCTATCATCATCACAGTGATCTAAGATAACATTCATTTAGTTTAACAAATTCTCCAAGGCAAAAATATTAATATGAAACGTCTGAAATTTTGTACTACTTACTAGTTCTCATTTACCAATTCACTAGGACTCATTCTTTAAACAACAACAACAACAAAAAGAAAGTAGTCACAGCTGATATTTTCCTTTCGTAGCAAGAGAGAAGTCGTATAGTTGATGCACCTGACTTTCTGTAGGGCTCTTTCTAAAATATCAGTACATAGTGAACTATCTTAAAACAAGAATGAAAACACAGCTCCAAGTGTTTATTTCAAAATGAGGAAAAAAATTTAGCTACCTGATTTAGGTAATGAGTGAAATTTGTGTACACAGTGTTGATCAGTTAAACTCCTCTCCTCACAGAGCTGATGGCCATTGCTCCAAAATTTGTAGCAGTCCTCATGTAACTGCATGGCGTATTTGTGAAATGCTGGACCTCTAGCATGTTGACTGTACACTCGAAGCGCCTGGGCAAGCTGATTCTTATGGACAGTCATTGTGTAATTATGAGGCAAATTTGACTGGTAGGCACTGTGGGCCATGGGTAAAGCTTTTTGGCATCGGTTTTCTGAGAACTTTGTGTCAATATCCAAAAACCCTTCCAAGACTTTAATACTGCTTAAAATCTTAGATGTTAGCTCCCCAGTGGGTGAGCTCAAGTCCTCCTCTTTCCCATCAATAGCCACTTCATATAGTTTTGAAGCTGCTGAGATCCACTTCTGATAAGTAGGAAGTTCAAAATGGGAAGGCTGTGGGTTCCTGCCCACACTGTCATCGAAACCTTTCTTGCTTAGGACTAGCTCCACATGCTGCCATAGGAATTCCCGAAGAGTGAAATCCACTAGCTGGCCTGAAGAACTGGAACTGCTGCTGTCAATATGAAAGGAAAGTTGCTGGCGGCTGTGCTGCCTCATCACCTGGTATCGCCTAGGCCCAGAAAGGGGTGCAGGCACCAGCAAAGATTCCGGGTCCTTCACAGTACAATGACTCCTAAGTTGGTCCAGCAACATACCTACTGGGTCCTCCTCCTGGCTTCCGGGTACTATGTACACAAAAGCTTGGTTGGCAGGCACAGTAAAGAGGCAGTTGATGCTCTGATTAGTCAAGACACGACTCTTTCGGAAGATTCTATAGATCTGGTCTTCCAGGGCATGCTGCAGTCTCCTTTTGGGAGAATGTTTCTTGGGCTTGTCTGGATGAGCTGGGTCTTGGTTCCGAGGAGGTTCAACCTTGAGGGCTCCATTGAGTTGAAAGAGGAAAAGGAGTCTAGGTGGGCAAGGTCGGCAGTTTAGCTTCCAGTCTTTGCCAACTGGACAATCCTTAATAGCTGTTTTAAGGAGTGGCAGGACTTTCTGTCTCAGACCATCCAGGGCTCTGAATACTCGATCGTAAGTGATATCAAACGAACAAGTGGGATGGACCAGAAGCAAGATATGACAGACAGAGAATAGGTAAAGGAGACTGAGGCACTGCAGCTTCTCTTGATGCTTCCAAAATTCGTGTGCTTCTGCATGAGGCAAAGAGAGTCCACCTCCAGCTTCCCCGCTCTGAAGAGCCCGACAAGCCCGCAGAAGCTGTGAATTGTCACAGATGGAAGTGAGGAGAAGATACAGAACTTTACTTTCCTGATTGTAGTAGGCCTGCAGAAGGCTGTAGTCCTGGGAGCCTGCCTCAGTTCGGTTACCTTCCGCGGTAGCTCCACTTCCCCGACCTGGATCCCCGGCTGCAGCCCCAGGGTCCCCGGCTCCACCGGCCTCGCCCACGGCGCTAGCCTCAGTCCTGATTCCAGGCCCTGGATCCCCAGGATCTTGGTGGCGAAAGAGGGGAAAGACCTGTCGGTCACACACCGTATTCACAAGAGAGAACTTCTCGGAATTCAGGCGTAGAGCCGTCTTGCCGAAGATTCCCACAACGCAGATCTCATCCTCCCGCCATGGAGGCTCCGGCCCGCCAGCCGCGCTCCCTCCGCCCTCAGTAGGGGACCCTACGGGACTTTCAGAACCCACCCAGGCTGAGGCTCCCATTAGCAGCTCTCGCAAGCTCACAGGACCCGCCATGGTGCAGAACCTTCTCTAGAGTCCTTCCGGTCCGCTAGTAAAACCGACCGGCTTCTGTCCCATGTCAAAATCCTTCCCCCGCGTCTTCACTTCCGGCTTTCCCCTCACTTGGGTTCCGCCTCCTGCCTCTCTTCTCCCAGTTGAAGTGTTTCCTCAACTGTAGGAATTGAGACGTCAAAAACAAAACGAAATAAAAACACTGGGGCCGGCCGCGGTAGCTCGCGCCTGTAATCCCAGCACTTTGGGAGGCCAAGGGTGGGGGCGGATCACAGGAGGTCAGGAGTTCGAGAACAGCCTGGCCAAAATTGTGAATCTCCGTCTCTACTAAAACTTCAAAAACTAGCCGGGTGTGGTGGCAGGCACCTGTAATCCCAGCAACTCAGGAGGCTGAGGTAGGAAAATCGTTTGAACCTGGGAGGCAGAGGTTGCAGTGAGCAGAGATTGTGCCACTGCACTCCAGCCTGGGCAACAAGAGTGAAACTCCGCTCAAATTAAAAAAAAAGAAGAAAGAAAAGAAAAAAGAGGCCGGGCGCAGTGGCTCACGCCTGTAATCCAAGCACTTTGGAGGCCAAGGCGGGCGGATCACTTGAGATTGGGAGTTCAAGACCAGCCTGACCAACATGGTGAAACCCCGTCTTAAAAAATAAAGAAAAAGAAAAAAGAAAAAAGAAAATTTTGGCCGGCATGGTGTAATCCCAGCACTTTGGGAGGCAGAAGTGAGTGGATTACTTGAGGTCATGAGTTCGAGACCAGCCTGCTCAACATGGTGAAACACCATCTCTATTATTAAAAATACAAAAATTGGGCCGGGCGCGGTGGCACAAGCCTGTAGTCCCAGCACTTTGGGAGGCCGAGGCGGGTGGATCACGAGGTCGAGAGATCGAGACCATCCTGGTCAACAAGGTGAAACCCCGTCTCTACTAAAAATACAAAAAATTAGCTGGGCATGGTGGCGCGTGCCTGTAATCCCAGCTACTCAGGAGGCTGAGGCAGGAGAATTGCTTGAACCCAGGAGGCGGAGGTTGCGGTGAGCCGAGATCGTGCCATTGCACTCCAGCCTGGGGAACAAGAGCGAAACTCCGTCTCCAAAAAAAAAAAAAAAAAAAAAAAAAGTACAAAAATTAGCCGGGCATGGTGGCACACACCCGTGGTTCCAGCTACTCAGGAGGCTGAGGCTGGAGAATTGCTCAAACCCGACAGGTGGAGGTTGCAGTGAGCCGAGATTTCACCACTGTACTCCAGTCTGGGCAACAGAGCTAGACTCCGTCTCAAAAAAAAAAAAAAAAAAAAAAAAAAGAAAATCTGTGAAATATCTTTGTGTATAAATTATAACTTGCAGATCCTCTCTTACTAGTGGGCATATTGACAAATAGCTGCCAGGATAAAACTTACAACCAGATTTAAATGTACAATTATAACATGTTTATTTTGGGGTTTTGTAAAAAAGTAAAAATCTTTAAATCTAAAAAAAATTATCCCTAGTTCTATACATTAACATGGCCGAATCAAAATAAATGTTGATTAAAAGAAATCAGAAAGACAAGTATATATACCGTATGATTCTTTTGTTTTCTTTTCTTTTTTCTTTTTTCTTTTTTTTCAGACAGAGTCTCTATGGCCAGGCTGGAATGCAGTAGTGCAATCTCAGCTCACTGCAACCTCTGACTCCAGGGTTAAAGTGATTCTCCTGCCTCAGCCTCCCAAACAGTTGGGATTACAGGCACGCACCACCACACCCAGCTAATTTTTGAATTTTTAGTAGAGACGGGGTTTCACCATGTTGGCCAGGATGGTCTCGATCTCTTGACCTTGTGATCTGCCCGACGTGGGCTCCCAAAGTGCTAGGATTACAGATGTGAGTCACTGGGCCCGGCCTGATGCTATTTCTTTCTTTTTTTTTTTTTTTTTTTTTTGAGACGGAGTTTCGCTCTTGTTACCCAGGCTGGAGTGCAATGGCAGGATCTCGACTCACCACAACCTCCGCCTCCTGGGTTCAGGCAATTCTCCTGCCTCAGCCTCCTCAGTAGCTGGGATTACAGGCACGCACCACCATGCCCAGCTAATTTTTTGTATTTTTAGTAGAGACGGGGTTTCACCATGTTGACCAGCATGGTCTCGATCTCTTGACCTCGTGATCCACCCGCCTCGGCCTCCCAAAGTGCTGGAATTACAGGCTTGAGCCACCGCGCCCGGCTATTTCTTTTCTTTTCTTTTTTTTTATGGAGTTTTGCTGTCACTCAGGCAGGAGTACAGTAGTACGATCTTTTTTTATTATTATTTTGTTTATTTTTAGAAAGAAAAAAAGAATAATAAGAAAAAGAATAAAGAAGAGGAAGAAAGAGAAAGAGGAAGAGGGAGAGAGGATGGGGGTATTGCTTTGTTGCGCGGGCTAGAATGCAGTCTAAATATGGGTATGCCTATAATTGTGCTTAATAATGGAGACATGAAAGAAAATGAGGGAAGAGAATAACAAACAAGGAGCCAACCAACATTTCGTTTAAACTTCTAAGTTGATATGATGTGGTACTGATAAGAGTGTATATTTTGTGTAAAGTGGAGAGTTCTATAAATGTTAATTACGTTTACTTGTTCCAGATCTGAGTTCAAGTCTTGGATATCGTTGTTAATTTTCTGTCGCTTTGATCTGTCTAATATTAATGTTGAAGTCTCCCGCTATTATTGTGTGGGAGTCTAAGTCTCTTTATAAGTCTTGTATGTCTGGGTATTCCTGTATTGGGTGCGTGTATATTTAGGATCTTTAACTCTTCTTGTTGTTGCGTTGATTCTTTTATCGTTATATAATGTCCTTCTTTGCTTCTTTTGATCTTTGTTGCTTTAAAGACTATTTTATCAGAGGCAAAAATTGTAACTTCTGCTTTTTATTTATTTATTTTTGCTCTCTGGTTGGTAAATCTCTCTCCATCCCTTGTTTTGAGTCTTTGTGTATCCTTGAATGTGAGATGGGTCTGGATGCAGCATACAGATGGGTTTTAGTTTTTTGTCCAAATTGCCTGTCTGTCTTTGAATTGGGGAATTTAGTCAATTTAAATTTAGAATTAATAATGATAAGGCCGGGCGCGGTGGCTCAAGCCTGTAATCCCAGCACTTTGGGAGGCCGAGGCGGGTGGATCACGAGGTTGAGAGATCGAGACCATCCTGGTCAACATGGTGAAACCCCGTCTCTACTAAAGGTGCAAAAAATTAGCTGGGCATGGTGGCTTGTGCCTGTAATCCCAGCTACTCAGGAGGCTGAGGCAGGAGAATTGCCTGAGCCCAGGAGGCGGAGGTTGCAGTGAGCCGAGATCGCGCCATTGCACTCCAGCCTGGGTAACAAGAGCGAAACTCCGTCTCAAAAAAAAAAAAAAATAATAATAATAATAATAATGATATATGTGAGTTTAATACTGCCATTTAATATGAGCTGGCTATTTTGCCCATTAGTTGATGTAAATTCTTCATTATATTGATGTTCTTTACTTTTTGATATTTTTTAGAAAGGCTGATACTGTTTCTTCCTTTCTATGTGTAGTGGTTCTTTCAGAAGCTCTTGTAAAGCAGGCCTGGTAGTGATGAATTCTCTGAGTGCTTGCTTGTTCACAAAAGACTTTATTTTTCCTTCACTTATGAAGCTTAGTTTGGCTGGATGTGAAATTCTTAGTTGAAAGTTCTTTTCTTTAAGGATGTTGAATATTGGTCCCCACTCTTCTGGCTTGTAGGGTTTCTGCTGAGAGATCTGCTGTAAGTCTGATAGGCTTCCTTCCCTTTGTGGGTAACCTGACCTTTCTCTGTGGCTGCCCTTAGTATTTTCTCCTTCATTTCAACCCTGGTGAATCTGACGATTATGTGCCTTGGAGTTGCTCTTCTTGAGGAATATCTTTGTGGTGTTCTCTGTATTACCTGGAGTTGAATATTATCCTGTCTTACTAAGTTGGGAACATTTTCCTGAATAATGTCCTGAAGCGTATTTTCCAGCTTGGATTCATTCTCTTCGTCACATTCAGGTACACCTATAAAGCGTAGATTAGGTCTTTTCACATAGTCCCATATTTCCTGGAGACTTTGCTCGTTCCTTTTTATCCTTTTTTCTCTAATCTTGTCTTCTTGTTTTATTTCATTGAGTTGGTCTTCGACCGCTGATATCCTTTCTTCTGCTTGATCAATTCGGCTGTTAAAACTTGTGCACACTTCATGTAGTTCTCGTATTGTGTTTTTCAGCTCCATCAATTCACTTATTTTCCTCTCTAAATTTTGTATTCTTGTTGACATTTCGTCAAACCTTTTTTCAAAGTTCTTAGTTTCTTTAGATTGTGTTAGAACAAGTTCTTTTAATTCACAGAAGTTTCTTATTATCCACATTTTTAAGCCTGCTTCTGTAATTGGAACACACTCGTTCTCGATCAAGCCTTGTTCTGTTGCTGATGAGGAACGGGGATCCCCTGCTGAGGGAGAGGCGTTCTGATCTCAGGTATTCTCAGCCTTTTTTGACTGTTTTCTTCCCTTCGTTGTAGATTTATCCATCTGTGGTCTTTATAATTACCGTCTTTGTAATTGGGTTTCTGAGTGGACGTCCAACTTATTGATTCTCAGCGCTGAAATCTGAGCAACCCACTGCGCCGACTAAATCAGCGGCGTTAAGATTGATGGTGCTTTTCTGACTCTGTACCAAGAACCGACGCTCCGAGGCGCCGGCAAAACCGCCTCGCCGGTCGCAAGAGTCACGCTGGCGACCCGTGGGGCTCCTCCGCTGGGAATCTCCTGGTGCGTGAGCAACCAGAATTCATGTGAAGGTGTGGCGTCCTCTCGTTGTTTGCGCTTTCACTGGGAGCTACAATCCCGAGCTGCTAGTGATCAGCCATCTTGGATCTCTCTCCCACTGCTGTTTCTGTAGAGTTCAAACGCAAGCAAAATAAACCATAGCATTTTGGGGTGTGTTCTTAGTAAAAGCAAGGAAATATTTATTGTATTAAACAAGTCAGTGATTATTTAACGGGATTATGATAGGAGACAGGTAGAGCTTCTGAGGACACTAATCA